GGGTGGAGAAATTTTTTGTCACTGGTTGTGCATGTTTTTCGTGTTGTATGTGATATATTTTGTTCTGCCACGTACGTTCTGGTTGTATAGATGTTTTCTGTTGCCGCCCCCCCCCCCATCCTTCACTTTTCTGATGGTCTGTCCTTAACATAGAGGCCAAAAGGGTATTTTTGGAGCTGGGCATCAAATGTTGTGTTGGGTGTAATTTATATTGTGTTCTATACTGTACATAGATAAATACAGTAGCATATTATAGGTAGGGATATTTAAATTTTGTTAAAGAAACACTAGTTCACGGTATGAACGTCCTTATAAAGAAGTGTTCATTAAAACTAGCAGAAGTAAAAATCAAATACTTTCAATTTGAAAGAAATACTGGATAGTGTGTTGACTTTATAACCTCGTGGTGTGGCTAGAACTAACGTACATCATTTTTATACTCTTCTTTGTCAACTTTATTTACATAATTAGGAGAGTACACGCCTTAATGCACCTATATACAGGTATAACTCTTCTAATGTATTAATTATTCTGTCACTCTTGTCAGGACACACTTGCACACTGGATTTAGCCACTCAGAATTGTGGCTGCTATGAAAGAATGTCAAAGAAACTATAGTTACGTCTGATTCCTAAAAAACCTTATTTATAGTTGATCAGTCAACTCAAATGACAGAAAACTTAATTTCCAACTTATATTGCATGCAAGAAAACTACATGCGCACACTTGTATTAAATTTGACTTGCAGCGTCATGGGTTGCTGTTTATGCCGTAACCGTATGTTAGTTGAACTGTCTGTTGAAGTTGGCCATGCTGATTGTGCCCTTCTGTAAGGATTTGGTTGGCTTTTGCATCTATTCTCGTTTACTGAAAGAGAAAACAGGGCGATATTTTTGGGCCAGTTTTCATATATTTATGCTCTGCCTCTCGATAAGACAACAATGGATAGCACGGCTATGGGTAGCACAACATACCCATGGCCGTTTTAATCATTTTAAAAAATTCATAATATTTATAATTTAATTCCAGCAAAGGTGAGGGCCTACTATTTGGCCATCACATAAAATGTTAAATATTGTTCAATGTTCTTAATATATATATATACTATAAGTTATAGTATATATATATTAAGAACATTGAACAATATTTAACATTTTATGGTATAAGATCTTGTAGTACTACCACTATCATTTACTTTTCCATAAATTAACTGATAAATGTGGCAAGGACCTGGGGAGGAGGTGGACTTTGTAGATAAAAGAAATGATGGTAATATTTCAGCTGTAACCTCGGACGTGTGTTGCAACTAGACCCCTCATTATGTTAACGGGGCGGCCTTGATGCCCCTGCTATTCATCCCCAGACCCCTGCTCATTGACAGAGGAGAGGCAACACATACAATTTCTATTCGTTACCAAACATTTCCTTTATAACACCAATTGAATACAATGCAAACCCTAACCCTAATTGACGTTAGAATTAAGTTGCCACATCACTGTCAGACAATTGATATTTGACCCACACGTATCCCACATTGCGTTGCGTTTTGATGGATTGAAAATTGTGTGACGTAAGTGCTTGTAAAGGCCCACACATTCGGATGCGATTCGGCAACGCGACGCGAATTTTCAGTTTTCAAAAACAAGTAAAACCATCAACGGATAAAAAATTTACAAGATATGCAGGCCAAATAGCTAAAATTGCTTAAGTGGTTCCGAATATTTGAAAAACATAGCAAAATAGTAAAGTTAAATGTCATTGAAATTTGAAAATTCGCGTCGCGATGACGAATCGCGTCTGGTCTGTATGGTAAGGGTTATTCTTGTTCACTGAAGGGCTTATTCTTGTGACATCTTGTTGAATGTTGTAAAGTTTAGGAGAGTTTTTATGGACTCACCTTTTCTTAAATTAGTTATTGTTAGCTGCTCGTTAGCTCTTCTGGGTGGTGGGTACCTAAAGTGACAGACACACATTTTGATGGTTAACTGTTAAATGGTACTTATTGGGTTGGTACAAATGAACTTCTTTACTCACCAAGGATTTTGATACAAATGTGTATGTCTAAGTTCACATGCTAAACGGAACTCCCCAAGCTGTAAAACAAAGAAAGAATTAAGAACAATTCAGAAGTAATTATATGCGGTACACAATGAAATTTCATGTAAGGCCAGTTGGTGTCATGTGATAAATAAGATGCAAGGATATTTACTTTGATTTGATGTCCACTTTTCCAAAGTTTAACATGATCTTTTCTCACAGATGCCACATCCCACCCTATCTCACCAACCTACAAGGTTCAAATTGAAGACATTGCTTCAAATCCTGTTTATATTAGTAAGTTTACATTTATTTTCATTGTTGGTCATTCTCCTTACCTTGACTGATTTTGGTCTTGGATGTGGGCAACCCTAGTAAATGTAAATCAAATGATTTAAGTGAGGCACCCTAAGACTTTCTGCTAGCTAAACTATAGTAATATTAAATTGTCAAAGAACGTGTACCCTAGCAGCCCTCAATACATAGTCAAGGTCACCAGTTCCTTCAGGTGAGAGTGTTCCTATCCCTGTTGCTCGGGCATTTAAGATCTTAGTCTTGTGATCTTGGATTGCATCTGGACCTAATGGAACATGAAAAATTGTTAGTAACATTGATTGATTGATAAATTTATTACTGTAAAGTGTCATGCATGTCTTATAGCCAAAGATCAAGCTTTCACTAATCGGGGACACAACATCTATAAACACCTTTGCCTTCCCAAGCAAAATTATAAAGGACGAATAACACAAGAAAGCAGGCCTCACTAGGGTGTATTGCAGCATAATAAGTTAATTGCAGTCTGCAAGAGATGAAGGTCATATGAAGGTCAATAGACTTAGGATTTTTTAATTTAAAAATATTAAATTTTACAGTATTAAAACTTTATTTTCATACAAATGTACCTGTGAACAAAACAGCTCCTTTCCCAACGTATGGGTTGTAAAACCTGTGTGATTGATTCCATCGGAATCCTGAATAATCGACAGCAGCCATGTACTTGTAATACTGGTATTTGTTTTTGATTTTCTAATTGTTGCAATTACTCCTGACGCCGTCGCGTAGCAACCGCGTGATTCCAGAACTCGCGTTTTTGCGTGTTTTGGAATAAATTACAACGAGGCAAACCGCGTGATATATCGCGCGTGGCAGTCACGCAAAATGCTCTCTCTATCTTCCAGTGTTCAACATCGAGAAACATGGCGTCGAAAGGTAAGTCGAAAAATCGATTTTTTTATGCTTTTTCTGTGTTTTCTGACAAACGTTGATGAACAGTAATGATCAGTAAATTGTGTTCTTCATATGTTGTGTTATTCCGTCGAAAATTGTGCGTATTTCTTGCGCAATTTTGTATTGAACACAGATTTGTCTGTCGGTATTGGCATCTCACTAGAAAATGAATACATCATCTTTTATTGTTAAATTTGCCCTAAATACAAGTTTACACTGGAATAGAAGCTACTTAACATGCAATTATATTGTTTCTACATTCTTTTAGGTATAAATTTAAGATGTTTTTCTGCAAAATAATTGAAAGAACATTCAGTTTAAAGTTTTGCAATTTGACCGGCCATTTTTGGCTGCAGGGCATCTTGCATAAGCATTCAGGCCGGAATTGGTTTTGAACAAAGAAATCCGACGTTTATCGAATTATTATTGACAAGTTATTAAATTGCTTTTTAAAAATATATTTATTTTCGCAATCTTTTATATTTAAATGTTTGATTTACATTTTTTTTGCAATTTTCTGAGGAATTATAGACAATGCACTGTAGTATAAATCTTTCCAATTACTGCATGCAGTATTTAGACGTATTTAAAGGTTTTCACCAAACCTAATAAGCAGCAGAATGGACTAGGCTATTTGATTTGTATTTCAACAATACTTGAAATTGATTTTAAGTTTCTAATTGCAAACATTTAGCTTGAAACAGAATTTTATAAAAATCACATGTTATAGTGATTTTTGCATGATGCATGCTGTATTGCTTGCTGCTGATTATAAAATAAAGCACAGGCACTGTGCTGATTATAAAATAAAGCACAGACACTGCTGACTCTTTGCATGTGCAGGAATTTAATTAGTGGGTGTGGTTTGTTTAAAGTGGGTGTTGCAAAGGCTGGGCAATATTTGGAGGTGTTTAAATCACTGGTCATGGTTGGCCAAGCAAATTTGTGGGGTCAGGTCAAAAATGGGACCCAACCAGCAAAGAAGCCCGACCAAATTGTTATTAAATTTTGGCGCAAAGTGATGATATCTCTAATTACTTGTGGTTTAATTCAAGAGTTATTGTGTTTTTCAGTTCCACCAAAATTTGATGATCTTGGCAAAGAAGCCAGAGATGTGTTTGGAAAAGAATTTGGTTATGGTTTTTTCAAACTCGATGCCAAAACTTTGTCAAAGAAGGGAGTGGTGAGTAATTGCTTGTAGTCCAAGACAGATGCGGTTAACACCCTGATCTCTACCCCTGTGAGAAACAATGATTGCTATATGTCATTTAATTTTTTCAGGACTTTACAACAGCATTGTCATCAAGCAATGAAACCGGAAAAGTGGCTGGGCATTTAGAGACAAAATACAAGAATGCAAAACATGGTTCGTTCTTTATTACTTTATCTGACATAATATTGAAGCATTCCATTCATTCATTCCATAACATTTACAGGATTGACACTATCTGAGAAATGGACAACTGATAATGTGCTCAGTACTGATATTACTATTGAAGACCAGGTAAGGACAGAAAGTTCTTTTCAGTAGAAATAAAGTTTGGTGCTGACAAAATTTCCATATTGTTGTTTAGCTTATGAATGGACTAAAACTGTCTTTTGACACCATGTTTGCTCCTGGAACTGGGTAAGAAACGTGATGTGAACATGTACTCTAAATATATTTATTAAATATGAGCATGTTAAACTGCAAACCATAGATTAATCTCTCCAAATGTATTTGAATTTGTCTTGTATTTGAGCAGGAAAAAAGCTGCAAAGATCAAGGCTGATTACAAGAGGGATTACTTTCACCCTACTGCAGAGGTCGACTTTGATTTTGCTGGACCAATGGTGACAGCTGCATCTGTGTTTGGGTAAGATAATAAATTAATTGCTTGATATTTGTAAATAAATGAAGATTTTATATTCAAAATTAGGTTTGAAAGAAAGATTGCTAAAGTCGAGTAGTAATGCTAACTATACTGGTGTTTTCTTGCAGTTACAATGGTTGGGTATGTGGTCTTCATGGTGCGTTTGATACAGCCAAATCCAAATTGACCAATAGTAATATTGCTGTTGGTTACAGATCATCTGACTTTGTTCTCCATTCCTCCGTGTAAGTCTTGTATAAAGATTTATATTTTATTTCTTCTAGGCAAAAAAAAAATATGTGGGTTTTCGGTTTCCCAACCCTACCTAGCTTTTGGACGCCGAAATCCCGACCCTAAACTTTTTTATTCGATCATGCTTGTAAGTGTTTCCACTTAGAGAAAAACGTTTGTGAAAAATGGAAATTTGAGGCAATATTAGGGAAATCTATCTTTGAATGTGGAAGCATTGACTAAACAAAATGGTGTCCGGTTGTTAGGAAAATTTTAGAAAAGTTAAAACCGACCTACTCTACCTAAGTTTTTACAAGAAGAAATAGGAAACCCCCATATTTTTTGGCCCTATTTAGACTTAGTGTGGTGGTTTATTTACTATGTTCACTGTTATTTTTAGAACTGATGCATCCAAGTTTGCTGGCTCAGTACATCACAAGGTAGTTGCAATTGACTTTGAGAACCTTACTCTGAAATTTAAGTACAAAAGTACTAAATATGGTGTCCAATAGTGCCTTTGCATAACGTCACAAGTATATCGCAACAATGAGTGAAGCAGTGGTATTTTCGAGACAATGAAACATTCTGATAGCTAGATCATGAAATGAAGAAATACAGTAACTACATCTCTATAAATTGTTTTGTGTTTAAGCATTTTAAAGTTTCAAGATGTTTCCTTATTTCAGGTTAACAACAAACTTGAGGCTGCAGCTCTCATGAACTGGGCATCGGGCAATGAAAGTGTTAACTTTCAAGTTGGCATGAAGTATATCATTGATCCAATCTCATCAGTCAAGGTAATGATTCCATGGATCATCTTTCAACAGCAAAACTTGTCTTCACAGATGATCTGTGATGTGGGTATCCTGGATAATAATAATAATAATCTATTTGTCTACGCAAATAGATTATCAGACAACCAATCTTTTCTTTGTTCAAGTACCTCCAGATGTATCATCTGTCCTCAAACGTTTATCAGAGATATCTTTCTTTGATCGCAAATTGACCATTTGCGTAATAGACTAAGTTTTGAACTAAACAAGTCTAGACAAAGATTTCATCATAGCTTGAAAGAGCATCACAAAATTAGTAATATTCCAAAGTTTCGTTGCAAAATGTTGTAAAATGCGGAAAATATAGCCTTGCGAAATTTGCAATTTTCAGTCGTTTTAGATTACAAACGGGAAATTGACAGCCCCAAACCCTTCGAGGCTGTCAATTTCCGGTTTGTAATCTAAAATGACTGAAAATTGCAAATTTCGCAAGGCTATATTTTCCGCATTTTACAACATTTTGCAACGAAACTTTGGAATATTACTAATTTTGTGATGCTCTTTCAAGCTGTAATGAAATTTTTGTTGAGATCAAAATTTAGTCTATTACGCAAATGGTCAATTCAGAGTGAATTTCCTGCAATGAAATCCTTATCTATTCCAGGTGAAAGTGAACAATAGCAGTCACATTGGTCTGTCTTACTCGCACAAACTGAGTCCTTCCGTGAAACTGGGCCTCTCCGGTCTTATTGATGCGAAGAACCTGGATCAAGGAGGACACAGAGTTGGTCTGTCTCTGGACGTCGAAATGGAGGCGAAATAAACACTCTATATATGTATATGAACTAAGTTTATCAATTTTATTCTGTTGCTCTCAACCAACTGTTTTGTGAAACACTTTCAGTTGACTTGAATAAAGGGTTTACTGATGCACGTTTTTGGTCTATTATTTTTTCATTTCTGAGAAAAGATCTTGGGTAAACTGCGAAACATTGTCACCGAAACAATTTGAATGTTCATCTGTTTCCTCAAACCTTTGCACACCTTTTTCTTTGTGGAATGTCTTCCAACAAAATAAGAAGCACATTTTGTTTTCTAACATTTTAAGGAAACAATGTTTCCTGCTTTGTCCACCTTTGAAAATCATGGCTAGCAAACAAAGTCTACGGCATACCCTGGGATAAGCCAGTGCCCAGCGGTCAACCGGAAAATCCATTTGTGACATGCCATGTGACATTTGTCCTGCTTATAGCCCTCATGAAGATATATTATTTGTGTCTATAAGGAATAGAGGAAGTTTTGTAAGGAGCACGATAAAGGAAGTTTATAAAGTTTAGTTTCCAAATACGAGTCCAAAGGTTCGAAGATGGTTTATGTAGCTTCGTGTGTTTTGGCGATCGTACTTTCCATTCATTCTACGGTACGTCCATCTCATCTTTACTGATTCAAATTACAGTGGAGTTAGCGCAAGAGTGGTTGTTAAAATATTTGAGAGTTGTACAATACCATCAAGTAGTCTAACGACCAATATTAACAATCACATGTATGATACATGCTTAGTATTATATGCTCAGGAAATAATTCTCGTTTATCTTCAATCTTTTAGCATGATTAGATTTACAGATTTAGACTTCAGTGTTACGCCTTACGCAATCTTTGTTTCCGCATTCTTGTGTCCGTAATTAATATATCAGGTAGTCTTGTGTTGGGTGGTCGATAAATAGATTTGAAAGATGTGCTTCAAATTTTTCTAAAGTTGACCGGACCGTGACGCGCTTTATAGTGAACGCAAGTATGGTTTGAATTGACGCACATGAACGATGCATGTTTATAATTTTCTAGGTTGCTTTAATATGTGGTATAACAAATTGCACGCTAGACGGTTACGATAGAGCATGGTGTTGTGGAGACCATAAAACGACATGTTGTAGAGAATCTTCTTCATCTTCTTCAAGCCCTTGGTGTAAGAAATGATAAACTCACTTTATTTATACTGGGTAGCTCTATCAGTTCACTGTTCTCCCTAGAAGTCCAGTAAGGATCATCTCTTATTGATCCAGTGTTACTACAGGAGGAAACCTAAACTAACTTTATACTGGATAGCTCTATCAGTTCTAAACTGTTCTTCCTAGAGATCCAGTAAGGATCATCTCTTATTGATCCAGTGTTACTACAGGAGGAAACCTAAACTAAACTAACTTTATTTATACTGGATAGCTCTATCAGTTGTAAACTGTTCTCCCTAGAGGTCTAGTAAGCATTATCTCTTATTGATCCAGTGTTACTACAGGAGGAAACCTAAACTAAACTAACTTTATTTATACTTGATAGCTCTATCAGTTCTAAACTGTTCTCCCTAGAGGTGCAGTAAGGTCATCTCTCTTTAGTTTAGGAGGAAACCTAGACTAAACTATTTATAATTTTTTCCAGATGTTTGGGTAATAGTGGTAGTAATTTGTCTTGGCGTGACAGCTGGTGGAGTGTTTCTATACCTTCGCTGGCGAAGAAACCGGGGAGTTTATAATCGAATTCAATAAAAGTTGTTGGATGTTGATCATGTCAAACTGTTTAAATCTTAAATTATGTTCTCTCTTTTAAGACTTGATTATATTAAAATAGATACCCTGGGCGCCAGAGCTGTTTTTTAGATTCTTAAAGGGAAACCCCTAGTTAGGAAACTCTAGATCTGTAAAACCTCTGGAACCCAGGGTAATTAATTCAGATACGTTATAATTGTCAGGTAATTGCATAATTATAGTAATTTGATTTACCATATACAAAAATAATGGTGGGGCTGACCCACTGAGCTATACTATATTACTGGAGGACCTACTCGGCATGAAAGAGTGTCGCCAAAAACATGGCGTCGCTTACGCCATTTCCATGGCAACTGGTCCGAAGTCTCCATGGTAATTGCCACTGACCAACCGCGATCCGAAGCACTAAACAAAGTCCTGCACCCCCCTGTTTTTACACAAATATTTCACAATTTCAGAATTTAGAGGTTTTCGGTTGTTTTTGAGCTAGAAAATCTTTCCTTCGCACTTTACTTGTTTTACGATGTGGAGGAAAAGTGCCGTTTTGTTTCGTTTGTTGATGCAACAAATTCACTATCAAGAAAGATTAACTATTTTTTCAAGGTAAGATTCGTGAAACTATTTTTACTTTGTAGAACCTTGCTAGTTGCTAGATATAAAATGACTCTCGAGTCTAGAAAATGAGTCAAATGACTATAATATAAGTCAAAAACTCATGCTACTATATATATACAGCAAATATTTCAATAGCAGACACATGAACCGGGATACGGACATATAAATCCTGTTTATAATCGTTGAAAATTGTGGACATGAAATTATGTTGTTTTGTGTTTTTTATTGCCAGTTTTTAATAATTTATAATAATTGTGGTTGTTCACATGCTCACACGGTCGTACAGATTATATATGGTGTGAATCAGGATTAATATATAGATAAGCAAAAAGACAGAGAGTGTGGGACAGAGGGAAAAAATACCCAGGACCTGAGAGTGTTCAAAGCAGTTAGCAAAAGTTGGATAAGCATGATTGCTTGCCTATGATGTGTTTTAGAGATAAGATATGGTATAACTGAAACTATCTTTTGAGTTAGATTTAACAATCTCTCTCAGTAGGTTTAGCAGCAAGTGATAGTCGAGAAACTGCACAGACTTCATGTCCTGTGAACAAGGCTGCATTGCATTCCCCCACATTGAACAAGTCTCACTGAGCTTGGACAAGCAAGTCCTACTTTTGCCAGGCTTTTTGTAGCAGTGTTTATATATGGGGTTGTGCGGCAGTGGTGGCCACTTATTGTGGGGGGGGATTTAGGTTGCCAGATCCATATGACCATGCACTTTATGTTGTTGGATATTGTAGTTCTTTAAACTTTTTTGCCTTAACCCATGGGGCACCATGCAGTGCTGTCCTTTGACAAGTAAAATTGTCTGGCATTAGACAGATCGTGTAAAATAATCTGGTGTTTGACAGAGTAAGATTAACTAAAGTTGGGCACATTGGGTATGCAGATAGTTTGATTTATATTCCATAGAGTGGCATATGAGCACTAGCTCCAAGTGACAAGTAAGATAGTTATGCATAACCATGCAGAAGATTGTCTGATTAACCCACTGAGTGGCAGTGCTCTCCCCTAAAGTACATTAGGGTGCATTGCCACTTAAAGGGCTAACATATATGCAATACATATTATATTTTTGTTAATTACTAAAGATGTGTAATAACATGATTGTGGTATAATAATGATCTGTTTAATTAATACAGGTACCGGAAGTGATGGCACAGGATGCCAAAATGGAGAAGAACAAATTGAAGTTATGGCACAACTCTTTTTTATTGACAATAAAGAGTACTACACACAGTCACATTTAATTTTTTAACACTACAGTACATTAAATCTAAATGTACATCTTTGTGTCTAAATGTAGTATGTCCATGTTTGTACAATTGTATAGCAGGGACTGAGAGAGCAGAAAAGAAAGTTAGTTATTATATTGTATTAAAATATATTCAAAGTACCAACAGCAACCTTTTATCAGATTAAGAGGTGATATCCAAGTGTTTTAATAGATGTGATGAAACATGTACTGTGAGTGTTTTGAATAACTTCAGAAATGATATATTTGATAACTTCATAAATAAATTAAGATGAAGTTTATGTAAATCTGATTTCTTTTTGTTTTTACCCTCACCATGAATTTTGAAATGTGTAGATGTGTCTTCCTTCAATGTCAGGTACCCCCAGGATTTGGTTTTAATACCAGAATTGCAGTCCCCCTTTTCATCTGGGAAAATCTCAGGTCCCCCCAGTTTCTCACCCATCCCCCCCCCCACATCAATAATGAATGCCCCCTTATTAATGTAATTAAATTCTGTCAATACAATTTTCAATGATTATAAATACTTGTTGTCATAAATACTAAATTACAGTACAGTACGTATTATGTAAATATATAAAATTTATTAAAATTTTCATTTATTAACATTTTGTGATTTCTATTTCCACACCTAGAGCTCAAATCACTGTTAGTAATACTTGACCTCTGAAAATATGTTTAATGTAGTGATGAATATTGGATTGGTTCTGAGAAAATTATGGGTCAAATATCTAGTATATGTCATCAAGAGTGTTTCATTTTCTTTACAAAACTAGTAGTGTTACTTAATTTAAGCACATCTTTTGATCGATCCCTGCTGATTAGTAGAGGTTGGTACAAAACCTCCAATTTTCAGACCTTGAGGATTGCAGCATTGAAGTATGCATCAGATTCCTCAAATTTGCCACTGACAATACCTTTCCCTTAATTTAAGAGAACACTTCTTGGTTTAAAAAAATATAAAGCAGTTTAATTATTATCTAAAAACTACATATTAATTTAATGAAGCAGACCATGTATTCTGTATGAGAAAAATATAGAATTGAGACGTAATGTCTATTCTTGTGCAAATATTCCTATGTTGACCATGCACCAACTATTACATGCAGTAAGTGCATGTTTGGTGAGAAAAGGGTTTTACATGGCAATGCTGATGTACATCACTAAATGTTGAAGGATTTTTGTAGATCGATGAAAATTTTGAGTGTCAATTTTGTACATTTTTAGACCTGGTTAAAGCAGCTGCAAAAGATGCAACTATATATTTCCAGGTTGGTTAGGTCTAAATATGCATAAAATTGACACTTAAAATATTCGTCTAGTGACGCTTACCTTTGATATTTAACAATCTGTTGAGTGTGATGTCCAAAATCCTGACATTTACCCTTATATTACACCTTACTACAGGCTTCACCTTATGATATTTACATGAATTAATTTGCAATTACAGCTCAACACAGTAGCTGATCAGTATAAATTTGTTTGAACACTGCATCAGAATCACTGATGGCTGCAGGTTTATTCCTATCTTAAAGGTCTACATACAATGCTGCTTAGGAATGCTTTCATTTTAAACTGTTTTAAAAGTTGCATTGTACCTTAGACTAGTCCACCCTATTTTATATAAATTGATAAACAAACAATAAGCTCTTCATGCAGCAACGATTAAAATTACATCATGTTGAATGTTTTCTTGATGGCCCCAATCAGTATTTTATAGGTAGACAGAAACTACCTTCCTGGATAAGCTAGCTTCCAGTACCCCAGTAACTTATACAAAAGTTGGTGCATATTAAACACAAACCCTATACAAACACATAGTTTCATAAAGTGTATGTTTATAAAAGTAATAAAACGAGACCTCAGGTCTCTGCAATCAACCTTTTTAACATTATTACACAAGATAGTTTGCACTTTAGTGAGTTTAGACAGTATATATCGTACAAATGTGTGAATATCAAATCTGTGTTGTTTACATAGAACTAAATATTTGTGAATACAGCTTGTTAAAATAATGGGAAATTTTACACCTTACAATATGAAATTTGGACTGTAGAAAGCTGAAAGCTTGTTTTCTTAACAAATGAAGTGTAATTCATCGTTAGGCTTACCAATTTCATGTCAAATAAGATAAAGAATGAGTAAAATTGACTAGACATAGATCTCCTACCTTTTACCCGACTCAAGTATCGTCTTAAATACTCTTTTCCCACATTTCTCGAGGTTTTGTTTGGCTTTCGCGGGCGAGAATAACACGTACGGCTTGCATACCTTTAACCAAATGGTCAAAGGTAGTAAATATATCTCAAAATTTATACAAAAGATTTAAAACAACGAGAACTATAAATATTTACCTGCAAAAACCAAATCTTTTGCAAAAAACCAGGGGGGGTAAAAACTGCCGTGGGCTCAGAATTGAGCCTGGTCAGTGGTAACTACCATGAAGTTTTCGGACCAGTTGCCATGGAAATGGCGTCATTTTCACTCAAAATCCGCCATGTTTTTGGCGACACTTTTTTGACTGACGAGAGATAGGAGCAGGTCCTCCAGTTATTATACAGCTCAGTGGGCTGACCTCATTGATTTCAGATTAAATAATACATGTGCATGATACTGGGGCAAAGACAGATATTCGAATAAGAATGGATTGAGCCAAATTTACCACCTATTGAAGTTATGCGTAACGAGAAAAAGAAACGACCTAATTAACTTAGCTAGATTGAAACAAAAAAAAAATAGATGAAGAATTACGTATATGGTATAGTGACTATAGTCTAACATGTTGACCATCATTCTGCTGCATAGAGCCTCGGTTTTGTGTAAGTGGTCTCAACCCATTCTCATACCCAACCTCGTTCCCAGGCTCTTCGCTCTTGTGAAGCAAAGACCCTGGTCGGAGCTGGTCACGTGACCCATAGAAAATTGATAGCCCAAGGGGGGATGGAAAAGTCTCATATTACATATTTCCACTTCCGCACTTCGCAGTTCGATTGCAAGGAGTGGCCGTTCTATACAATCATCTAATTCATCTTCGAGACTATCATATACACCTCAAACTACTTGCTAAATTGGTTTCTGTTTGCTTTTAAATTATACAAACATGCTAAAATGCAGATTCTTATAGCAACAGAAAATTCAGGAAATCAAGCAACGAGAACGTATGACTGTACGCTTTGAAATATTTTTATTTTCTCGGGGTTCCCCGATTCGGGCGTAGTTTCATTTCACGCGTACGTTTCTGTTCTGGCTCTGATATTTATAATATGCTTATAATATGCCAATGAATTGTTCTGATATGGACACGGTGTAAATTTTGTTAAACAGATGTCTCAAAAGCGACTGTTTATAGGTCGTAGGATTAGCGCCTTGCCGGTCTTAAACGTGACACATTTGGACACAAGCCAAATACACATTGAATGTCCATTCTATTGATTCTAAAACTGTTTATAGACATATTGCTCTAGATTTTTTTTAAAGGTTATCATCGTTTATATTAAACACCAGGAAGACAAAATATAACTTACAAAATTGTTTGAAATCGACAGTGCACAGCTGACATACGTGACAATTCACAACTGCATGAATTTCCTTTTTTGTCGATCTGCACGAGTACCTGTTTGTTGAAGCCAAAATATTGCACAGCATCTCCTATAAATTCTATCGCCATTTACCCTCCCCTTAAATGCAAAGGAATGACAGCAGAAAAGGTTTAGCAAAGTATTTTTTATTACATCTGGTATAAAGTGTCCTACGTTTTATCAGGATATACATAATTCATAAACTGTATATGCACACGAAGTCTCTCTTATATTAATGAGTTTTACTGTAACAAACTTTTAAAGATTCCATTGATAGATAGGTTGTTTGCCTCCAGTATTGTTTAGTAAAACAGACTAAACTTCTAAAATGTCGGTTACGGAATACGAAAAAGATTAAAGTTGATTTAAATATTGATAACTCACAGCGGCATTAATCCATTATACAAGTCTAAGGAAGCTGGATTATTCTTCAATAAAGCCCTCAATGGACAATGCCAATGTCAATGAAAGGTCTAATATTATACATGTTGCAAATTACTGTATACACAAAATATGAAATAATTTATATAAAGTACAAATACCAGTGTCTGGTGCATATATCGTCGTAGATATTCAAGTTGTACCGCACGCACGGAAACGCACGAAGGAGTCTTGGCGTTTGTGTGATAACAGATAGCTAGCTACACTTCGACATTATCTTTCTTGATCGTTGAGTTTCAGTAATGTAAATGAAATGAATTTTATAGCCAGTCCATAACGGTTTTAATCCTGTGCTTTTACAGTCAAAATAGCACTATTGTTTACACATGTTGGCGATGTTTGGGAAATCAATTCAAAGGATCCCGTTATAAAATAAATCTTTTGTTTTGAATATCGGACAGGATACACTTCAACTATAAAGAACCATATCGTTCGTTTAATACCGTTTGATCGATCAGTCTGTGTAGAAGATATGTATGTTTCTACGGCAATACGTGCTAAACTTCGCAAGCCAGGCGCGTGTGGAGTGTTTTCCTTGCAAGTGAAATATGATCCAGCTTCTCGCTTGAAATGTAACGCAACACTTATTATTGATGACATTCAGTATAGCAGGAAGTCTTGTCATGATCGGTACGAATTTAGAACAGTTCCTTTCACAATCTCTTGTTGCAAATTACATTTTTATCACCCGAAATTATAACACATAAAGTTGCAATTTTCCAAACGCAACAAACAGACTACTCTCCTACCCCTCCCTGAGATCAAATTCAATTTACCCCCAAAATCTGGGGGTTCACGTGACCAGCTCCGACCAGGGTCTTTGCTTCCCAAGAGCAAATAGCCAGGGAACAAGGTTGTGCAAATGTATCGAAGCCCTTGAAATACATAACCGTAGCAAAAATATTATGAACGGTTGCATAGGTAGAACAATTAGTATTTAATTAATCAAACACTGCTTGACCGGACTCGTAGCTAATTAGCATTTCAATAGATTTTATAATTTTTTATTTTATTCATGAATTTTTAATAGACTAGCTTGTATATAATAGACGTATATATTGTAGTAAGTAATATTCCACTGATGAAGCCTTGACCGGCGAAACGTCTGGAAAATAAAACATTTTTAACATCTTTTTATTCCAATTTTATGTCTGAAGAAATTCTTTTTAACCTTTTCAAATATTCACCGGCCATGTTACCTACAACCCCTTCATATATATATATATATATATATATATATATATATATATATATATATATATATATATATATATATATATATATATATATATATATATATATTTGGTATATAGGGACTATCATTGCGTGGAAGGTGTTACAGTAAATGGTATTATAAATATGGTATTTTATCAGAGGGTATTTATATCTTCGGTTCTCTTCGGATAGTTCTTGGAGGTAATCGCGATAGGGTCAATGCATTGAACTATAAATAAACTGGAAGGCTAACTCAGGGGGGGAAATTGAAGCCAGTGCATTTTAGTTTTTCTGAGTTATGAGCAGAAATACTCAACACTGAACGTTGGGCTATATATCAAATTGAAGCTATTGAAAAACGCTATTTGGTGTAGAAATTTTAAGACTTTAGCTAAAAGGGAAATATTGAAAAACTACAAATATAATTACCGATAATTTGCCGTTTTGCAGTTGTTTTTGTATTTTTTAAATATTTTTCTTTTCGCTGAAGTCTTGAAATTTCCACACCGAATCGCAATTTTCAATAGCTTCAATT